GGCTCCGGCTTCAAAATGTGGCCCGGGAATGGAGTTCTGGGAAATCGAAGAGCACGAAGTGGCCTACAGTTGGCTCCGGGCATCCAAAATGTGGCCCGGGAATGGAGTTCTGGGAACTCGAAGAGCACGAAGTGTGTGACTGTTGCATCCGGCCTCCAAATGTGGCCCGGGAATGGAGTTCTGGGAACTCGAAGAGCACGAAGTGTGTGACTGTTGCATCCGGTTATTCAGAATGTGGCCCGGGAATGGCGTTCTGGGATCTCGAAGAGCACTTTGTGTGTGACTGTTGCATCCGGGTATTCAGAATGTGGCCTGGGAATGGAGTTCTGGGAAGTCGAAGAGCACGAAGTGTGTGACTGTTGGTGAAAAACGAGCCCGGCACCCTGCCGCCCGGCAACTCCCCAACACCTGCCCGGACCCCCCTGTGGAGTGATCTGTGAGCTCTTTTGAGTCAACTAGAAACCTATCAGTCTTCGCTGTTAGGTAAAAAGCACTTCGCACCAAGGCTCCCAAGAGCGAGCTGCGACATGACAAACTCTGACATCCAAGGCTCCCAATAGCGAGCGGCGGCGTCGCTATCTCTGACGACCACGGCTCCCAATAGCGAGCGGTGACGTAACCCGCCCTTCGCACCAAGGCTCGCAAGAGCGACGAGCGCCATGAACCATCTCGGGCAAGCCCCCCAGAAGCCGCTCTTTGCGTTTCCGTGCCGCCCAGGACATCCATGAGGCTTCATGCCCGCGACCCAGACACGGTGGCCCGCTGGGCCGAACGCCGTTCGATCGAATCTGGATGGCCTTCCGGGTCCAACATTCCTCCTTGGAATTCCGATGTGACGTTAATTGCGTGCCGGCGCGATCGCCGCTCTGATCATCCGTTGCTGCGGGTTCAAGTTCCATCGCGTCAGGCCGTTCCCATGCAACCGAAGCGCTGAGCTTTAGCTTGCGCCCAATGACGCCAACTTCTACCTCTTTCTGCTTACTCTTCAACGCAGCTGCATTCGTCCTCTGACAAGGCCCGGAGCAAGGAGTGCTGTTCTACGGTCAACAAAGCTGTCATTCTCAAGCCCTGTGTCAATTGTGGGGTCGAGCTCCCTGAGACGAATTACGCGAGAAACCAACAGAAACGAACTACCAGGACGTGTCTGAGTTGCGCGGGGGCCGCACCCCAAAAGAGTGGAACATCTAGATCAACCCTCACCTCTACTTTTTGGAGATATGTCCACGCAGTGCGACCACTGCGGCGCATTATTGTTCACCTCGGAGTCCACAACTTTCTGCTGTAATAACGGGAAATACGTCATCAGCTTCGACACCTATTTCAAATACCCCGACAAACCTCTCTGCGACACCTTCGCCCCCGGTGACCGCCCGCCTGCGCGCCTGTTCGTGCGCGCGTTTCAGTTTGGGTGCGCGAGCGTCGTCCACCGGCTGGTGTGCTTTGCCGTTGCCCACTACTTCGTTGGCCCCGTCGACGGTGTCGTGTGGACCCGCGCCGCCCATGGGCACACTCGTCTCGCGCACCATGCAGTAGGACACCATCCCAGCCAATGCAGAACGCTCAACCAGGAGGCAGACAGTGGACGACAAAAAATTATCCCGGCAAAGCAACCTAACAGCCATGTGTAGGAGCATCTCTGGGTCGAACAGCATTTCGACGAAAAGGCAGCGACAAAAAAAGGTGACGTCGACGACGGCGGTGGCGGCGGCGACGGCGGCGGCGGCGGCGCCCCCCCCGCCGCCATCCGCAGAGGTGGCTCGTTCGTGTTCTTCGTGGCCCGCCATACCCGGGCCACATATTTTGCTTGTTGATAGCAGTGTCCCGTTTCCAGATATGCTTCCAGCATGTGTAGAAGCATATATGGGAGCATTCCCCTTGAGATTCAGATGAGAATCCAGTTGTCGAATCGAAACAGGAAAGCCAAGACGTGTCCGTACTGGTGGGAACGACAGTACCTGCAGTAACAATAGTAGTGGCATTGGCAGTAGCCGCAACGACAGTTCCTGCTCGTCCTCGTGCTCCTCCTGCTCGTCCTCTTTCTCCTGCTCCTCCTCCTCCTCCTCCTCCTCTTTCTCCTGCTGCTCCTCCTCCTCCTCCTCCTCCTCCTCCTCCTCCTCCTCTTCCTCCTGCTCGTCCTCGTTCTCGTCCTCCTCGTCTTGCTCGTCCTCCTCCTCCTGGTGCTCCTCCTCCTCCTCCTCCTCCTCCTCCTCCTCCTCCTCCTGGTGGTCCTCGTTCTCCTCCTCCTGGTGCTCTCCCCCCCCCTCCTCCTCCTCCTCCTCTCCCTCCTCCTCCTCGTCCTCCTCCTCCTCTTCCTCCTCCTCCTCCTCCCTCCTCCTCCTCCTCCTGGTAGTCCTCCCCCTCCCCTCTCCTCTCCTCCTCCTCCTCTCCTCCTGGTCGTCCTCGTCTCTCGTCCTCCTCGTCTTGCTCGTCCTCCTCCTCCTGGTGTTCTCTCCTCCTCCTCCTCCTCCTCCTCCTCCTCCTCCTCCTCCTCCCTCCTTGTGGTCCTCGTTCTCCTCCTCCTGGTACTCTCCCCCCCTCCTCCTCCTCCTCCTCCTCGTCCTCTCCTCCTCCTCCTCCTCCTCCTCCTCCTCCTCCTCCTCCTCCTCCTCCTCCTCCTCCTCCTCCTCCTCCTCCTCCTCCTGGTACTCCTCCCCCTCCCCTCCTCCTCCTCCTCCTCCTCTTCCTGGTCGTCCTCCTCCTCCTGGTCGTCCTCCTCCTCCTGCTCGTCCTCCTCCTCCTCCTGCTCGTCCTTCTTCTCCTGCTCCTCCTGCTCCTCGTCCTGCTCCTGCTCGTCCTCGTCCTCCTGGTCTTGCTCGTCCTCCTCCTCGTCGTGCTCTTGCCCCTGCTGAAAATGTGGCCCAGGAATGGGAGTTCTGGGAAGTCGAAGAGCACGAAGTTGCCTACAGTTGGCTACGGGCATTCAAAATGTGGCCCGGGAATGGAGTTCTGGGAACTCGAAGAGCACGAAGTGGCCTACAGTTGGCTCCGGGCATTCAAAATGTGGCCCGGGAATGGAGTTCTGGGAACTCGAAGAGCACGAAGTGGCCTACAGTTGGCTCCGGGCATCCAAAATGTGGCCCGGGAATGGAGTTCTGGGAACTCGAAGAGCACGAAGTGTGTGACTGTTGCATCCGGCCCTCCAGAATGTGGCCCGGGAATGGCGTTCTGGGAACTCGAAGAGCACGAAGTGTGTGACTGTTGCATCGGTTATTCTAAATGTGGCCCGGGAATGGCGTTCTGGGATCTCGAAGAACACGAAGTGTGTGACTGTTGCATCCGGGTATTCAGAATGTGGCCTGGGAATGGAGTTCTGGGAAGTCGAAGAGCACGAAGTGTGTGACTGTTGGTGAAAAACGAGCCCGGCACCCTGCCGCCCGGCAACTCCCCAACACCTGCCCGGACCCCCCTGTGGAGTGATCTGTGAGCTCTTTTGAGTCAACTAGAAACCTATCAGTCTTCGCTGTTAGGTAATGACGGAGTGATTTTTGGAACAGTTCCATGGCTAAGCCTTTGCATCGCACGTTCCGAGGCACAAGGCAGATTCGTCTCTGGGGCTCCATGTGGCCCTTTCGAAACCGAACAAAGACGACGGCAACGTCGACCCAAACCAACCCAAAATGCCGAAAGGCCCCCAAAACTGTTCCAGAAAACCGCGGGCCACTTTTAGATGACCGACGACGGCGACGACGGCGATGACGACAACGTCGTCGTCGCCGTCGTCGAACGCGCACCCCTGTTTCCATCACCCCACGTGCTTTGCCGTTTCTTGCAGCCCCACTGTCCTGCACATGTAGGTGCGCCTCGGCCCAATGCGCTTGTTTGTCCTCCCCCCTTTGCCCCTGACACTGCGCTACGCCAGGACTTTAAAGCGAAACGCAGCGAGTTTCAAGTCTTGTGCGTGTATATATATATATATATATATATATTCCTTCCCAAATGATAATATACCCGGGGATGGCCCCCACTTCGTCAGCACAAAACGATTATCGGTTTCTGGGCGGCCCCCTAACCGACCACAAATGCCGAAGAAGGTTCGGAACAGCTCCTGGATAATTCAGGAGGCTGCGAGACGACACCAAAACGCCCCGGGACGCCCCAAGATGGCCTCGATCCGGCCCCGGAGGCTCCCAATACTTTTTGGAGAGCCCAGAGAAGCCAACAATTGCCCCAATATCTTTCGCAAAACGTGCGCTTTGTGCGCATGCGGTGCTTGGGTGCTCCCAGCGGTCACGGCGGCCCCACTGTTTTCCAACGTTCCATCACAGGCTCCACTCGATTCCAAGAGGCGCCCAAGAGAGCCCAATACGGCCCCAGGAGACGCCCAAAGAGTTCAAGACGGCCTTGGGAGACGCCCAAGGCGGCCCCAGGAAGCTTTCAAGATGGCCCGATGGGGGCCGAGGTGCTTCTCAAAAGGCCCCCGCGCGAGTGGCTGGCATGCCGGCCAGTTGGCTTGGGAGGGTGCTTTGCTTCCACGGCCTGCTGGTGCTTCCAGCGCCCTGATGCTGGGCAGGTGGCCCGCCTGCGCGCTGCGGGCGTGCGCGTTTGGATGCTGTCTGGGCGTGGCCTCGATGCCGCTGGGCGAAGTGGCCGCCGTCATCGGTGAGCCGAGCGACGAGCTGACATCGGGGCTGCCGTTGTCGCGGCCCGCCAGGCCCCCGATGTGTGCGCGCCGCCGAGCGATGCAGGCAGCCACGTCGGCGCCCGGGCTTCGCCGCCGACTTTCACCGCCCACCGAACCACCCCAACCCAACCCGAAGGCCCCGATTTGCCATCCATTTCCGGTGGGGGGGGGGTCGGAGAACATTGAAAAAACACATTTGGATTCGCACCCCCCCAACCCGAAAGTCGGGCGAAATTCGGGTCTTCGGATTGGGTTGTGTTGGTCTTGATACGTAGTCAGTTTCCGCCGAGGCGCCTCGCGCGGGCCTCGCGCAGGCATCGCGCGTCGTCTGGTCCGGGGGCGAGCCGGCCCTGGGGGTCAGAGGCCGCATACCTTTATCTAGTGCGGCCTTTCCCCAAGGCGCTGAGACCTGCACATTATCCACTGCCGCAGGCCTGGCCCATCATGGGCTCAGGAGCGGTGTGCACGCTCTCCTGCCCTGGCCAAGGAGGCATACACACCGCTCCTTAGCCCAGGATGGGCCAGGCTTGGGCCAGTGGACGCGTATAGATCTCGTCGCCCTACTTCCTTCTCCCGCTCTTGAGGGAAGGAGGGCGGGGAGCGAGGAGAACGGACGGGAGGGGAGGGTCGGCTACCCCGCAGAACGGGGTATGGGGGAGAGGGGTCGGCTTTATAGCAGCACCCCTGGTTTTCAGAAGACGCGGGCCATGTCTGTCGATGTGAGGCAGGCGCCATCTAAGAAGCAGCCTCCTTATAAGAAGCATTCCCCCCTCCCCCTACCCCCGTGTGCGCGCCACCCAGGGAGTACGTGGCTGTAGCGCTGGGCATGTGTGCACCATCTGAGCCCCAGTGGCCAGCAGCCTTGGGCTGCCGTAGGGGGGGTGTTCTCTTTTGCCCTATATGGTCCTCCTTGCTATACAGCCCGTTGGATTTCCCGGCTCGGCTGCGCTGAGCGTGTCACACGAGGCGTTCTAGAAATGGCCTCGCCTTCGAGGATCGAAGGAGTTGGCATCTGTTCCTCGCCGGAAGGCGGCGGAAGGGCGGCGGGAGGCGGCGGAAGTAAAACGGGGCCGCCTGTGCCGGCGGAAAGGCGGCGGAAGGTGGCGGAAAATGTGCGTCCCCAAGAGGTGACAACATTTTTGGGTTTAGGGCTTCCGGGATCTGCCACCCTGTTCAATCCTCCCGGCCATTGCCCCGGCATCTGCTTCGTCGCTCCCCAGTGCTCGCCTCGCCCGCTGCTTCCCGCTGCTGGCCCACAATCGCCCTCCGCTGCTGCAGCTTGAGAGCGGGATGCTGTGCATCTCTTCGCTATGCTCCCTGGGTGCCCACGCGGCGCACATCGAATGATGTGGATATGGCTGGAAACAGTACCTGGCGTGAGCGCTCTGTCGCAAAGAGCATCCGTGCCATTGTCATAGTCTGTGCGTTGCATTTCGCCATCTCCCGGGTGATGCCGCCCCTTTATGCTATCGTCTCTTGCTTGTCGATGCGCGCGAGGGGATTGGGTGGAGGAGGAGGAGGAGGAGAAGGTGGAAGGAGGAGGAGGAGGGAAGGGAGGATGAGGATCATGAGGTGAGCTATGAGATAAGGGGAGGAGGAGAAGGAGGAGGAGGAGGGGGAGGAGGAGAGGAGGAGGAAAGGAGAAGAGGAGAAGAAGGAGGAGGAGGACGACGACGAACCGTCGCAAGTCTTGCAGGCGAGACGCAGCGCTGCGTTATTAAAGGGGTCCTGAACCGACCGAGACTCGTGATAACACTGCTAAGCATGGCGCTGTTTCCCCTAGTTTTTGGCGGGTTAGTGTGTCTCAGGCGGTACATCACTCTCCTACTAACGCTCGTCTTTCCTTCCCCTCCTCCTCCTCTTGCTCCTCCTCCTCTTGCTCCTCCTCCTCCTCCTCCTCATCCTCGTCGTCCTCCTCTTCCTCCCCCAGTTTCCCCCTCCCCTTCATTCTCTCCCACTCGTCCGCTCAAATCCTCCTGCCGCTGCCGCTGCTATTACAGCTAGCTCTGCCGCTGTTGGTGCTGCTGATGATGATGATGCTGCTCCTCCTCCCTTCTCCCTTCGAGTCCCCCGCAACCTGGACAGCCCAGCATTAACTGCATGACAGCCTGGTAAAGCACTCGTTTGAGGAAGCCCAGTTGGGCTTGGGAGGCTGAAGCCTGCTTCTTGTGGGTCTCAGGTTGCCTCCCCTCCTGCTCCTCCTCCTCCTCCTCCTCCTCCGCCTCCTGCTTTTCGTCTCATGTTTCCTCCTCCTACTTATGTTTCTCCTTCTGCTCATCATTCCAGTTCTCTCTCTCTCTCTCTCTCTTCCTCCTCTTTCTCATGTTCCTGCTCTTTCTCCTCCTTCTGCTTCTGCTGCTGCCGGTGCTGTCGCTGCTGTTCCTCCCCCTCCTGACCTCCAGATGTCCAGACCGGCCAAGGATCCGCTTCGCCCGAGAGGAGGAGGAGGAGGAGGAGGAGGAGGAGGAGGAGGAGGAGGAGGAGGAGGAGGAGGAGGAGGAGAGGAGGAGGAGGAGGAGGAGGAGGAGGAAGGAGGAGGAGGAGGAGGAGGAGAGGAGGAGGAGGAGGAGGAGGAGGAGGAGGAGGAGGGGCAGCGCAGAACCCTGGACAAAAGAAGAAGCGATCACGCAGAGAGGTGGCGCCCCCCACGCGCCCTATCTCCTTGCCGAGGGGCGCGCTGCGCCCGACAGGTCGTTTCGTGCCCTCCTCCTCCTCCTCCTCCTCCTCCTCCTCCTCCTTCTCCTCCTTGGGGCCGACTCCCTTGCTCGGCACTGCCAGGGTCTTCGAGGCAGCCTCGTTGCGGGGGACTCCTCTGGCAGGGGTCCAGCCGCAGGTGCGCCCGATGCATGGCGAAAAACAGCCACACGCGGAGCACCGGACCTGTGGGCAGCGGTGCGTCCACGTCCCCCTTCTCCGCGCAGCCGGGTGCGAGGGAGGGGCCCGGCGGCAGATCTTGAAAAGGCTGGGGCAGCTGTGGCCAGCAAGGTGGGTCCAGCTCTAAGGGTAAATCGGCCAGTGGGGCCCAGGCCACGCCGCTGAGAATGGGGATCGGTTAAACGATACTCAAGCTCCTGCCACCGTCTCAGCTGGGCCACGCGCAGAACGGGGTATGAGGGAGGGGGGAAGGCTTCTTGTATCAGCGCCCCTGCTTCTCAGAAGGCGCGGGCCTCGTCTGTAGAGATGTGAGGCCGACGCCTTCTAAGAAGCCTCCTCCTTCCAAGAAGCCTTACCCCCCTGCCCTGCCCCCCTTGTGCGCGCCGCCAATCAGCATCTCGCACACAAAATAATCAAACAATAATGCGGTGCTTATTTTTGAATTTTATTTTTCGTCCCAAATCTGCCCGTAGGAGGCCATGCCCAACCGAAAGCAAGGTGGGTCCAGCTCCTGCCGCCGTCTCTGCATCTCGCACACAGCCGACCCTTCCCCCTCCACACACGTCCCAGCCCGTGCCCACTCGGGCCAGGGCACGCGAGAGGAGCGCTGCTGGGGGGGCCCGAGGGGGAGCTGTCGCCGTCGGGCGCGACGACGACGCGCGAGGCATCTCCCCCCGCAAGCCAGGGCGACCCGCACAGGCTCGGACACGGCGCCTGCAGGCCTGCCCAGGGCCCTGGAGAGAATCTCTCGGGGAAGCGTCAGGCTCGAGTTTTGCCGGGGCTCGGGTTTGTCGACGCTTTCTGACGAGCGCGTCCTGGGTTTGGGCGGTCCAGCTTTCGTGGGACGTTTGCAGCGGGATATCGCGTCAGATTCCAGGTTGGGTCTCGTCATTTTGATGATGGCCTCGTCAGGCCAGCCCGAGTCCCCCGCACCCGAGTCTCACGTCTCCCCGAATCTCGCTGCTGGCAAAACTGCTTCACCAACTCTCGAGGGACAGGGAGCTCTCCAGCAGGTCTCTTGGCTGTCTGGTCGGCAACGCGGTTTCCCTTCCAGGCCCAGAAGAGGACCCCAAGATGTAGGGCCCTGGTCCATGACTTGTGTGCAGGAATGTGGGTGACTCTCGCTGTCTTGCCCCGATCGCGCCGCCGAAACTGGATCTCCTCCCACAAATGAAGCATACGGAAGACTGGAAACGTCGTGCTCAGGTCCTCGGGCCCAAGTTTGAGCAGCATACTCATAGTCACAACCCAGGTGACACTCATCAGGGCCCGAGAGTCTGAGCACCATCGGAAGGGCGAACACCTCCGCCCCGTACATAGCGTGCAGAGGGTGTGGCAGGGTACCGTACGCACTTGCCTGGCATGCATCGTTGACCATCAGAACAGACCGAGCGGCAACAGTGAATAACGGCAGCCCTGGAAGAAGCGCAGGGCCATCAGCGCACACTCGTCCTCGGAGGACGCCGTCAGGCGGTCTCACGATCCACCTGATGCTGGAGGAGTGCTGGAGGCGCGGGGGGTACGGACCAGGAGAGGGCGGGAAGCATCGCGAGAGGCAGGGGTCACCCTCGTCCGCGCGGACCTCCAGTCTCTGGACCTGGTGCCGAAGCCGCGTCTGCCGCGGCCTGCCACGCGCCCCGTCGCACCCGAACACAGAACCATGCTGCGGTGTGCCTCGGGCCCCGAAGCACGGCTGACACCTTGAGTCCATCGCTTGCCTATGTAGCGAAACGAATGAACGACACAAGCATACAAAAACTCGGAGGTGCGCGCGGATTTCTCGGATCGGGGCTGGGGCAACCCCGGCGGCGCCTCCGGCGCCGCCCCTCCGCGCGCCCCGCGCGCAAGAGAAAGGGGGGGGGTCCAGCGCCGACCGCGTGGCGAGGCCTCCCGCAACAGGAGCTGCGAGGAGGCAGGCCTGCAGGCCATGCCCACGACGGCGGAGGGCGGCGCGGGCCTCGGCGGCGGCATCGAGCTGCGGCCGGGGGTGCTCTCGGCCCCGAGGTGGTGCTGCTCGAGCCCGCTCCACGAACAAGTCAGCAGTGCCTGCGTCCACTCACTGCTGCAGCGGAGCCTCTCGGGCCTGCTCGAGGTCCAGGGTGCGGCCCGACGGGAGGGTCCAGGCACGGCGGCCCTGGGGAATCCATCCACGCCGGCGCAGAGTCATGACGACGGCACCAGTCGGCCCCTTCACGGCGGCCCAGGCTGCAACAACGTGCTGCAACATGGTGTCGAAGACGTGCTTAAGCTGCTCTCGAGACACCCCGCCCTCCCAAAAGGCTTTTGCCCACGCGATGAGGGGCTGGGAGTTGCCGGCAAGCACTGTCGGTCCCAGGGCCAGGCGAGCGCCAGTACCGAATAGTGCGGGAACGACCTTTGGCGGGCCCGACAAGTCCCAGAGCAACGGCAGTACGGAGCCTCGCGAGGGCCCTGTTGATCCCAACCACCCGAATTCCGTAGGTGCCAGCAGGGCTTGCCCCAACTTTGGAGATCATGGCGAGCCTACGGAACTGGGACCTCAAAGTCCGAAACCGTCCCTCTCTGCTACTCTGCTGGTTTGGATCTGCAAACACCTACGAGTCCCCTGGGTGAATTCGGCGCCGAGGTTTTTGATATGATGCGTAGACCTGAACTGCCACTTCTTCAAGTCGGCGCCTATCTTACTCGCTAACTCTGACGTTGTAGCTGTGACCTTCCCCTTCGCACGCGAGGCCATCAGACGTCGGACCTCGAGCATACGGCAGAGAGTGAGGGTGGCTGTTCGCACTTCTTTGCCGACCAGAACGAGGGAGCCCACAGTGAAGGTTGTGACGTTATTCACCACGTTGAAACACCGAGTGCGCTGAAACCACCTGGCACAGCAGTCGATAACTTCGAGTAAACTTACTTGGAGCGCACTGGTCGCGAAGCCGCAGCCCGCGATGCTGGTGGACAGTATGCGAACTGGGCGTGATACACGCTTGCCCAGCAGCAGGCATTGCGGTACACGGTGCACTCGCAGGCACAGTCGAAGGTTCGTAAGAGGGAAACGATCGCGGCGGGCAGCATCGATCCGGTCACGATGTTGAAACTCCTCGTATTCTTTGGTGATGTCTACAATCGTGTTGGCGGCATGCACGTTTGACACCATGGCGTGCTTGCTGGCGCACGGCTGCCCTCAGACGGCCCTCTCGCGCGGCCGACCCTTGGAACCCGCAGATGCAGTCCCTGTGGCGTTCCGAGCCCCACTGACGAACCACCTCTGTCGAACACCGAGCCCACACGACGCACCACCATGCTGACCAGCCCGATGAGCTGCGTGTCCCCCTCGGGCTTCGGGAGGGAGGGCACGAGCGTGAGGCCGAGCTGGGAGTGGAGAGCGCGCCGTGGACCGGCATCCAGCCCCACAGCATGCTGAGGTCCTCCAGGAACTCTCCTGGGACGACGCGACAGTCTCTAGGCCCAGGACGGTCCGCTTCCTTGGCAGTCCAAGCTCTGATTCTGGACGCGACCTTCCGAATGAAGCCAGGCTCTGGATGGATCTCTGGGAAGTCCCTGATCTCCAGAAACTTTGAAAGCTCATCCGTGCATAGCTCGGGTTTGGGGTCGGCCTCTAACCTATTCCCAGTCCCGACGAACATGTTCCAGCTCTTCCTCTGGATCTGGCTGGCCTTGCTCGGCTACCATGGGCCGCCAGCCTACAGGGAGGCCGAGTGTACCGGTGGGCCTTGTCTCCCCTGTTGGCCACCGCCTCCCTCACCAAGTGCCGCCACTCGGCAGGCCTCTTGCTGGTCACAACTTGCTCGCATCGAGCACCCTGTTCTCCGGCAAGCTTCGCGCAATCAGCAAGGCATGCGGCAGACAGGCAACTCCAGTCTGCAGCGGTGCGAGAGGACAGAGTCCAAGCGAACGTATCAGGGCTCGATCGTCGTCGTCATCGGCGTCGTCGTATGCGTCCTCGTTGGCGTCTTCGCCGTCGTCGTCGTCGTCGTCGTCGGCGGCAGCACTTCAGGTCCATGGGTGACCTCAGCCAGGAGAGAGGCGAAGACCGGGGGCCGCTCGCACACCTCATGGTCCTGCATGTGCCCGAGCTCGCTTAACCCCTGCTGCTCCTTCCCCTCCTCCTCCGCCCCCTCCTCTTGCTTCTCCTCCTCGTTCCCCCCCTCTTTCTTCTACTCCCTCTCCTCCCTCTCCTCCTCCTTCTCCTGCTCCTCCTGCTCCTACTTCTGCTCCTCTTTCGTCTTCTCCTCCTCCTCCTCCTCATCCTCAACCCTAGTCTCCCTATCCTCTGGCGTTTCGCCGGAGACCTCCTTACCAATTACAGTCCGAAGCTTGAAATTTGTCAGTTTCGCGGATGGAGGACAGGCCGTTTTCAAAATATGGTTGTCGCTGCAGCGTTGCGCGCATTCATTTTGAGACCTCGCACACCAGGTTCAAGGATGTATGGAGGGCGGTGGTTTTCGAAACGTTGCTGTCGCCTTATCGCCGCGAACATTCGCCCTAACACATTTCAGCAGTTTTACGGATGGAGGGCGGGCGGGTTGCAAAATGTTGTTTTCGCTTTAGCGCCGCGCACTTTCGTCTTAAATGGTTGCAGCAGCTTCAAGGATGAATGGCGGTTCCTGTCAGGACACAGCAGTCATGTTGGTTCGAGGTGTTGACGTCCCAGGAATCCAGGAATGGTATTCTGGCACGGTTTAGGTGGACTGGACGCAACAGCACGTTGATTCGAGACGCTGAATGCAGTCCGAGGAGTTGTGTTTTTTTGGCACGATCTAGGGTTGCCAGGAAGAAGTCGTCAAGTTGATTCGAGACGCTGAACTCCCAGGAATCGTGTTTTGGCACAGCTGAGGATCGTCAGGACGCAACTGTTACGTAGATTCGCGACGCTGCAGTCCCAGGAATTGTGTTTTGCCCCGATCGAGGACTCTCAGACGGTAGTCTTCCAATGGGGCATCTCCTGCAATATCTATATATATATGTGCGTGTGTGTGTGTGTGTGTGTGTGTGCGTGTAGGGCCTGATGGAGAGGGAACTTGGAGGGAGGGTTTATTGCAACATCGTTGATGCGTCTTGGGTTTGCACTGGTCCTCCTCCTCCTCCTGCACCCCTTGTCCCCACATGGGCAGTGAACTTCGATTAGACTTCGGATCGATAGTAGCCTGCCAATTTCCGCCGATTCTTTTTTCGCGGCTTGACTGCAGATCTCCGCCGACTTGATCCATTTCGGTCGCCGATCTGACCCATCGACTCGACTCTGGGCCCTCCTGACGCCCCTTCGTGCTCCCCCCTTGCTAGCTGCTCCGCCTGCTATCCGAAGTTCAAGCGAAGAAAGACCACCCCGACCCCGATAATTGGCGCTTCCTGCACGGCTTTGTGCGTTCACTAAACAGCCCTGCCCTGTTTGGCTCCTTCCTCGGGTGCGTTTCCTGAACAGCTTCGCTGGTCGGGGTGCTTATCATGACGCTGGATTCTCTCATCCAGCGCCTTCCGCTGCTCGCAATGTGCCTACTCGCAATGTGCCTACTCGCAATGTGCCTGTTCGCAAAATGCATGTCTTCCTAGATGTCACGGATCGTACATCTCCCGCGGCGCTCCAGGCCATTGGCGAGCAGTTACTTTGCGAGTCGTGGATCGCGCTTGCCTATTCTCTTCTCCCGTGAAGTCCTCTCCTGGCCGAGGGCTCTTCGGCCTGGGGCCGCACAGCCCGCTTCGCGGCCAGAGGCCCCCCCGCACCATGCCCGCTCGCGCGCCGGCGGCACGCGGGGGCCCGCTCCCCGCCCTGGCCCCGCTGCTGCTGGCGGCGCGAGGAGACGTCCCCTCCCCCTCCTCCTCCTCCTCCTCCTCCTCCTCCTCCTCCTCCGCCTTCTCCTCCTCCTCCTCCTCCTCCTCCCCCTCCTCTCTCCTCCTCCCCCCTCTTCTTCTTCTTCTTCTTCTTCTTCTTCTTCCTCTTCTTCTTCTTCTCCTCCTCCTCCTCCTCCTCCTCCTCAACTTCCTCAACTTACCTCCTCCTCCTCATCCTCTTTCTCCTCCTCCCCCTCCTCCTTCTCTTCCTCCTCATTCTCCTCCTCCTCCTCCCTCCTACTCCTCCCTCTCTCCTCCCTCCCTCTTCGACTTGCGGAGGGGTTTCCGTTGTGTGTTTCCCTCGGGGGGGGCGGGAGGGGGAACCCCCGGGACGTGGCCCCAGCCACGGGTGGAACGCAGGCGGAAGCCGGCGGCGAAGTCGCCCTCCTCCCCAGTTTCTTCTGCCAGAGAAGACTTCGGGGCTGAAGGGGCGGGGGTCCATGCAAGCGGGGGGTCAGTCAGAGCGCTGGATCTTGCAGGATCCTGCAAAGCCAGGGCTGCATTGATCTGGGCTTGTGTGCAGGATCCTGCAGGATGTTGCAGGATGTTGCAGGATCCTGCAAAGCATGACTGAGACGGGTTTGGATTGGGTCAGTAGATCCCCGAAGGCCTCCTGCAAATCAACCAATCCCTGAGATCATGGCGTTGCATTTTTTTCACACGGGGCGTTTTCGCTTGGTGTCGGGCCCCGGGGCCCTCACAGATCGATCCAGCAGACAGATGGGGTCCAGGGTTCGGGTCGTGATTTTTCTGGGAAGCTGACCATTTTCCACAGCGTCGGTTCTCAGGGCTTCAAAGGGGGTCCTCATTAGCGACTCCTCAGAAACAGTCAGCCGCCGCTGCGGACCTCCCGCAAATGGAGGTCCATTTGAGGGGGGTCTGCAGAGGCCGCCAATGCGGACATCCTTCAAGTGGCTGATTTGTGGGAGGTCTTATTGGGCGATTTCACAGGGTCCTCCCCCCGCCAGGGGACGTAGCCAGCCGTGCTCACCCTCTACTTGCAGGACCCGTCGAGATTACTTGGCCAGAATTTCTAGTGACCTCGAGCCCAAGTGCAAGGGCAGAAGCTGACCACGCCTTTTTTATCACTACGTGATGGCGGAAATTCTGGAAATGCTTCCCCATCTCCCTGTTCCTCCTCCTCCTCCTCCTCCTCCTCCTCCTTACCCTCCTTGTCTTGGCCCTCGAGACAGACAAACAGCTGCATTCACATGAGCTTCTGGATGCCTGCGCGGACTTCCTGGCTCTAGGCTGGACCCCCCTTTGCGGCGCTTCTGTCGCCGCCCCTGGCGCGATTCCCGCGCCACTAAATGGCGATCCAGCGCCAGCCCAAGAAATCCGCGCAGACCTCCGGTATGTTTGTTGTGCAGTTGATCCTTCTCCTCTATGTAGGAAACGAGTTCCTGACCAGGCCAACGAGGAAATTAGCACCGTAGCTTCGTGCCGCGTCGACGTGGCGGCGACGCTGGCGCGGGCGCTCTAGGTTGATGGCCCCCAGCGGCGTCAACCAGGCCACCCTCGAGCGATCTCTGCTGTCGGAAAGCGGAGATCGCTCGAGATTGAACGATTCCCGCGGTGTCAGAAACAGTCGCCCACGTCAACATGGCAGGAACTGACCGTACCGAGGTGTGGTTCAGTAGAGTCTGCTTCCCACCTCGAGGAGCTCCCCTCGCGAGGCCTCGATCCCCCTCCTGCCCTCTGGGCTGTTCGGGTCTCCCCCTGGCCCTGCCGAGGGGCGCTGGCATCCCCCCACCGCCGTGGCGGCGAGGCGCCGCGGGGGCGGCGGCTGGACGCAGGCGCCTCCTGGGGGTCGCCGTGCGAGGACTACCAGGCCGTGCAGATCAGCGGCATCAGCGGCGGCGAGGCCGCCAGCTGCGAGGACGTCCTGGCCGCGGCCGCGGCTCTCGGGGCCGACTGCTCGGCCCGCCTCGCGGGGCTCTACGCCTCGGCGGTGGGGCTCAGCCAGACGGTGCAGGAGGCGTGCTGCGCGGCGTGCTCCCCGAGCCTGGTGCCGGTGGTGCTGGAGGTGGGGTCCGAGGCGGAGCTGAGCCTGGCGCTCTCGAGCAAGAAGGCTCGGGGAGCTGGTGTGGTACAAGACGCAAGTGTGATACCACAAAAGCGTGTGATAAAAAAGCACGTGCGATCCCATGCTTTCTGTCTGCTATATCATCTGTTCGCTTATATAGTTGTATAAATATGACACCGGTGCTTTACCACGCTCGTTTGTATATCACACTTGTTTTTGTCACACCTGTCTTTTATATCATAGTTGTTCGGAGCAGTGGGACAGCAGACAGAAACTTTCGGAGGCACGCGCGGATTTCTCGGAGCGGCGCTGGCCCCCCCTGGCGGCGCCTCCGGAGCCGCCCCTGGCGCGTTCTGCGCGCCAGGGATGGGGGCCCAGCGCCGATCCAAGAAATCCGCGCGGACCTCCGAAGTTTATGTGTGTGTCATTGTTTGTTCCCTGGAAGGTGGCGTACGACGTGCTCCTGACGGCGAGCGTCGTACTGGAGAAGCCTTTGTGGGTCGACGGCAAGAAGCGGGTCACTGGTAAGGGCCAGGTGGCGCTGTCCGGCAACGGCATGCGGTCGATCTTCAACGTGGCCGACGGCGCCATGCTACAGGTCGAGAACATAACGCTGGAGGATGCCAGCGGCCCCGCCGTCTGTGTCTTCCACGGAGGTGATCGGACGGGGCTGGCACGAGGTGAAATCCGTTCCGGCGCGTTCCGGAACTCAGCGCGTTTCGGAACGCTCCGCGAAAGCCGCGGCGCCCGATACATCGTCCAGTGCCGCCGGATCTCAGAGATTCTCGATTTGTCCTCACTCGATTTTGTATCCTCGTCCTGGCTCCGTCCTAGGTGACCTCGCCGTGGTGGGCTCCGTGCTGCGCAACAACCGCAACCTGCAGAGCCGGCGGCTCGAGGCCCGGGGCCCAGCGGGGGCCCGAGGCCCAGCGGGCGCCGTCTACTGCAGCGGGCTGCCGACGGGGGTGCAGAACGTGACGCTCCCGAGCGGCACCGAGGCGCAGGTCTACTGCGACGGGGAGACCGATGGCGGAGGACTCGATCGGGGAAGCGTAAGGTCGGGCATAGCCAGGACCCCAGGTAAGGGGGCCTGGTCAGCAGCAGGGCCCCGGAGCCCCGAAATTGGCCAGAGTCACTACTAAACCAGGTCTGCCGTAGCTGGAGGATTCGACCGATCGACTGCACGTAAGAGTGACCCTTTGCCAGAGTGAGGTTTTTGGTGCGGGCCCAGTGGGGCCCCCCCGATCGTCGACCGCGGTGCGGAAGTGGCGTCCTGCGCGCGGGTGTTTGGTCCCCTCGCGGCCTCCCAAACGCCGCGCGCCAAAGGTCACTCTTACCCAGGGTCACTCTTGCGTGTAGCCGAATCGGGGAAACGTAAGGGCTCGAGTGCGCCGGAACTCGGGTTCTCCGACGCCTTTTGGCGAGCCAGTCCCAGATTTTGGCGGTCCAGTTCTCGTGGGAGGTCTGCAGCGGGAGCTCGCGTCAAGTCTCAGGCGGGGTCTCGTCAGAGTCATGATGGCCCCGTCGGGCCGACCCGAGTGCCCCCTGGCCCCCGGCCCGAGTCTGGCGTCTTCCCGATCTAAGAGCAGGACACTGAGACAACCTTGGGAAACAAAAAATCTAGACAAAAACCTATCAAAAGCGAAGCAACCCTGGAAACGCTTGGAAGAGCACCGACCAATAACGAAACAACCCTGGCAAGCAACAAGAAAAACAGCAAACGTAGTCCAAGCCAAGCACCCTCGGAGGTCCGCGCGGATTTCTGGGGTCGGCGCCGGGCTCCCTCTGGGCGGCGCCGCGCGCGCGAGGGAGGGGGGGAGGGCGCCAGGGCCAGCGCTGGCCGGAAGAGGTCTCGCGGACCTCCGGAGGTGTGCGCGGTCGGGCCGAGGTATCATCGGGGCGGCATAGACTATAGGGGGGGGTGATGACCAGGGGGGGGGGGGATATCATGGCGTCGGCCATGATATTTCCTCAGATTTCATGGCGCCTCTTCTTATTTCATTACGTCCCTGGCCTCCCCCCAAGGGCCGCGCACATGCCGCCGGCCATGATTTGCGCCCCCCCCCCCCTTAGACGCCCCCCTCTTGGCCGCCCCCGATATAAGAGCCAGGGCGGTTCGGGGAGGGTACCCTCGTGTTCTCCGTGTTCGTTGGCTGTTCTCGTGCCTCCTGGGGGGGGGTGCCTCGGGATGTTCCGTGCGTTTTGGCTGGCGGAGGGTCTTCTGTCCTTGAGATAGACGTCCTTCTGTCCTGGGTTCGGCTGCATGTCTCTGCCGTTTGGGGTTCTTCTGAGGATGGGTGCTACTTCTGTCGCACACCGACTCGATTGACCAGTATACCTGTGAGTCCATCCCCACGTTGCACGGTTGCCCGGGCATGCCAGGCTCTACTGAGGAGAATGTCTACGACGGTTCTGCCAGCCCATTTGGTCACGACGTATCCGCAAGCGACCCCTCTCCAGCGGGTGCCTACTCCAGGAACTGGACTAGCATGGGCCTCGAGCCGCAGATCGGAGACGAGTTTTTGCTCAAGCGTGGCACAACAGGAGACTGGGTGCGCTTTGTGCAGCTGGGGCCTTGGTGCGGTTGGGATCAGACGCGGAACTGCATGCCCTGGGTCGACAGAGACACTGCCCACGGCTTCTACACCATGGGCACAGTCTACGACAGCTCTGGCAAAGAGTTCGTGACTGGCGGGAGTAGCGGTACGGAGCGCTTCAAGTATTTCAACTCGTGCACCAAAGCGGGTGGCTGCATGCGTTCTGGCAACGACGGCGTGGGCTTCGGCGTGCTGGAGTCGCACCTGCGGGCCACAGATGGTAATGGCGGCTTTGGGGGCACTTGGGGGCCACCTTGTTTTCGATGGAACGGTGACGCATGCGACCAGGGCGCCCAGCTCCCGTACACTTACTGGCACCGCATGGGCGCCAGTGGGATCACGGAGACGCCGCTGTGGATGATGCCATGCACCGAGGGAGGCGGAGCCGTTGCGGCCGAGGGTGACAACAACATCGAAATCCGCGACAGCGTTTTCTACGGCAATGAGGCTCCAGTGGGTGGAGCGATGCACTTCAAAGCCTCGGAGGCAGGGGACTACTTCACGAAGCCTTCGAGCTACGTGTCGCTGAAGGGTGTCACGGTGTCGGATAACAAGGCAACTTACGATGGTGGGGGAATCTCGGTGGCCGGCACGAACAATAATCGGCAGGTGTACCTTGACATCACCGCCTCCCGCATCCAAGGCAATTCAGCAGGGGTGTCCACGGAGGACCGCGGTGGAGCTATTTCTATCAACAAGGGGTTTTTGACAATGTCGATGACAGATGTGCTCAACAACACGGCAGACATCGGCGGTGGAATCTCCCTGAGAAACGCGAACGCGCGGCTCGAGCTGTGCACTCTTGGGTCTAATCTTGCAGTGACACGAAGGGGTTTCTCGGGCGGCCTGTCCATCGAGGACGCGAGCTCGGTGGAGCTTGAAGGGGTGGAGTTTGCGAATAACATGGCAATCCCGTCAACTGGAGATCCTACGCAACCGGGCGTCGACATCTACCTCGGAGATGGCTCCGTCTCTTGCGGCTCAGCCTGTGGTCCAGGAGCGTACGAGGCGGAGCTCGCCGTGGCCGACTGCGCCGACGCGTACTACGCAGGCTGCGACGCCGTGTGCTATAGCACCACGCCCGACCCGTCGACGTGCAGACCCTGCGGGCAGGGCACCTACAACCCGCTGCGGGGAGCCCTCAGCTCATCTGCCTGCCTGCCGTGCGCGCCCGGCACCAGCTCGTCTGCGCTCGGCGCCTCCCTGCAGGGGTGCGATGCCTGCGAGGCCGGCACCTTCTCGGAGGGCGGAGCCCGGGCATGCACGCACTGCGCGCCTGGCACCCACGCGGCAACCATCGGCAGCACGCAGTGCGCGGCGTGCGGCGCGGGGACCTTCGCGGCGAGCTCGGGGCTGTCCGAGTGCCACATCTGCAACATGAGCAGCTACTCCGACGCGCCAGGGTCCACCGAGTGCACCACCTGCCCCGCCGCCAAGGCCACGACCGCCCCCCTCTCGCTCTCCGCCTCGGCCTGCCGGTGCCAGGAGGGGCACCTGGCCCTCCGCGGCGGAGGCTGCGGCGCCTGCGACGGCGAGCGGCTCGAGTGCCCGGGCGGCGCGCTCGATGGCACTGTCGTGACCAGGCCCGGCTTCTACCTGCGCGCCCCGGCGCCAGAGACTGCGCCCGGCAGCTTTGCCGAGGTGCCCGAGCTCTTCCGGTGCATGTCTCAGGAGGACTGTCCCGGCTCCCTGGGCCCGGGCGAGTGCCCCCAAGGCCACGCGGGGATCGCCTGCGCAGAGTGCGCCGACGGCTTCAGTCGCGTCGGTGGCTCGTGCGAAGAGTGCGAGAGCACCCGCGTCCGTTTCACAGTGCTGGTCATCCTGGGCCCGCCGGTGTTCCTGGCGTGCATGGGGGGAGTCCTGTGGATGGCGAGCAGGCCGTACGAGCACCACGTGACGCTTGGTGGTACGATGGGATCTACCCTCGGCGTGCTGGTCACCTCGCTGCAGCTCTACTTCATCCTCTTCGAGATGGAGGTTCAGTGGCCAGACTCCTTCCGGATCACCGTGATACAGCTAGCGAGGGCAGTCGTCATCGACGAGGCCAACCTGGGGCTAGATTGCTACTGGAAGTATCCTCCGCTTGCCAAGTTCTCGGCCAAGCTCATCGTCTTCATGGTGTCGTTGCTTTCCCTGGCGGCGCTGTGGGCTGGCTGCCGCAAGTTCGTGGGGGCGGCGCGGCTAATGGGCGAGGGCGCGCTCCTGAACGCCTGGGGGTTTGTGAGCAGCTTGGCCTTCGTGCCGCTGGCAGTCCACGCCTCGCAGGTGCTGAATTGCTACGCGCACCCTGGGGGCCACTGGTCGATGCGGTCCATGCCATCAATGCTCTGCTATGAGCCAGAATGGACCAGGACGATGCTCCCAGCGGGCATCGCGACCTTCGTCGTATTCGTGCTGGGGATGTACACGATCTTCGTTTACTTGACAATGCGCATACCCAGGATGGAGAGGGCGTCAGCGAGCGTCGGCTTCTTGCTGCTCCGCTTCAGGCCGGACGTGTACTATTGGAGCGTAATCATGTACACTCGGAATATGTTGCTCTCAGTGGTTCCGGTTGTTGCGCCAGACAAGCCATTCGTGGTAGCAGTGCTGTTTGTGATCGTCTGCAAAGCTTACATTGCCCTGGTGGTTGTTTATCGGCCTTGGAAGCTGGGCCATCACAACGCCCTGGATGTGGTGGTCACTGGCGCGCTGGCAGCAACACTCGTCGCTGGAGCTGCTTTTGCGAACGCACAGACGTACCCGAACAGCACTGATCTGAACGACAGCTCCTGGATATTCCTCGTTGTCTGCGTGGTGGCACCGTTCTTCCTTTCTATCGCTTGCATGCTACTCGTGATCTACAAGTTTTGGGCAACGGAGGCTCAGCGCGACACTCGAGCGGCGGCGACGCTTTTCCGGCAGGTCTTGCACGAGATGACGGCCAAAGCGGAGCCCGTTTTTGCTCTGGTGGAGACAGATCCCGATGCAGAGCGTGTGTTGATGGAGAACTTGGAGGGCTTCAGCCCCTACGACATCAGCACGACAAAGTGGGCGTGCTTGCTGATCAGCGGCCTCCTGATCGGGCGATCATCGAGCAGGAGTAGCCTGACTCGCCTGACGAGCGCACCCAGCGACCTCATCGCTTCCTTTGACCCAGCCGGGTGGAGGGCGGCCGAGGAGTCCTCCACTCCGAACAAGGCAGCGCCCGCGTCACCGCGGGAGCCACGTGTGGACCAGGAGTCGCACGGGTATTGCCGGCCATGCCGGGCACCCGTCGCCGCGTCCCGCGTCGCGCCGGCCCGCGCTCCCCGGTTCTCGATATGACGCCGTGGCGTGCTGCTGCTCTGGGCGAGCTGGGGCGGCGTGAGGGGAGGGGGATGCGGCTGGGTCCGGGCCCCTGGTCTTAAGTCGGGCGTGTCCCTCTACAGAAGGACCATTCATCAATAATAAGAAATAGTCTGGGGACTATGCATTGATTATTTGTTTCACTTAAAAAAAACAAATGTTCGCAAAGAATCCGCCTGCACGGGGACATGCCCGACCTAACCCTGGCCTCCCCCCTGTTCTCCGCTACCCACCGGACTACCCCACCCTGACGCGGAGGCCCCAAAAGGTGCCCTCCGTGCCCAGTGGGGGGACCTCCCGGAGCGCCCCTGGTCTGCCCCCTGCTCTCCACTACCCGCCGGACTACCCCGACCCAGAGGCCCCAAGTTGCCCTCCGTGCCTAGTGGGGGGACCTCCCGGAGCATTGAAGGATCACGCTGGTCCCCTCTGTTCTCCACTACCCACCGGACTGCCCCACCTCGACGTCGGTTGACCCAGAGGCCCCAAAAGGTGCCCTCCGTGCCCAGTGGGGGGACCCATCTCGGAGCATGGCAGGATCACGGCGGAGCCCGTGCGACCCCCAGACCCGGAAAATTCGGGACGTCGGGCCAGGCTGGTCAGGGGCGGCCTAACCGACCCCTGGCAAACCATCCTTCTCCTCCTCCTGCTTCTCCTCCTCCGCCTCCATCCTCCCCCATCCTCTTCCTCCTCCTCCTCCTCTTCCTCCCCTATCCTCCTCCTCCGCCGCGTGGGGATGGAACCGTGGCGGGCGAACAAAGCGGTTCCTCCGACAGCACCTCGTCCTTGCGTGACCTCGCCCTCCCCTTCCCAAGACGTGTGTGGGCGGCCGGAGGGAAGCTGGAAAGGCGAGGATGGCGTCACGGACGGGGATGGTTTGCCAGGGGCCGGGCAGGCCGCGCCCGAGTTGGGGTGGTCTGGCAGGTTGTCGGTTCTGGGGCGCGTCGGGCGGCCCTCCGGTGTCCCATGCCGAGCAGCCCGTCGTTCCGATCGGGAGGGCTGCAGCAGGCCGCTCAGCGGAGGTCTTTCCGCAGGGCAGCCCTTTCCCCGCAGGGCAGCGCGGCTGCCGTGCCGCGGGGACCCGTGCAGGTTTCGGGCGCGGCTGTCCGCGCTCCGACGCGATAGCTTCAAATCGGGCGCGTCCCTCCACAGGAGAAATATTCGTTATATTTTAGAAAAATAGCCTGGGGACGAGTTCTCTACTACTTTTGGCTATTCGAGCAGTTGAGTTGGTTCCTACATGTTTCTTTTTTCTAACCGATACCGCCTGTAGGAGGACATGCCCGACCTAACGATAGCTCCAGGTCCTCGTCTCCTCTGCTCCTGCTCCTGTTCTTCCTTGTCGGCCTGCCTGGTCTCAGCTGCGAGCGATGTGGTCTGCATTCAGCCCGTGCAAGAAGGACGGGCGAGAAGGATGCAAGGGCCTTGAAAGGCCATGCCGACACTCTGCGAGCGGGGCGCGGCCAGCGAGAGCGGCCAAGGATGGACCGAAGGGGAAGGGTGCAAAAGGGTAACCTTGGAAAGCTGCTCATCCTTGCTATGCGGGTTGACTGTGTGCACCGTTTCACCATTTCGACAGCATGACCTTTTCAGGGGGATGAGTAGGAGGAGGAGGAGGAGGAGGAGGAGGAGGAGGAGGAGGAGGAGGAGGAGGAGGAGGAGGAGGAGGAGGGAAGCAGCCCATGATTCTCAGAAAGCCCAGCCCCTGACCCTGGCAGCTCTTGCTCGCCGCCGGTGCACCCACGCCCCGGACGATATCGACCTCTTCCAGACTCTCGGCTCCAGAGCCCGCGACCCCGTCCCTCGAGCGGACTCTGCGGCACGGCCTGCTTCTCATGGGCCTTCGGCCCCGAAGCGGGCCTCATGGAGGCCTGGACGCGGCAGGTCCGAGCTCAGACCTGCCGACGGTCGATCGGGCCAGCAGGCCAAGGCCACCAGACACGGCTCCCTGAAGGCCCTCCGAGGCCCCCCCCCGCCCCCGAGGGCCATCAAGACCAACCCGAGGCTCTCCGAGGTTCCCCGCAGTGCCGCGGACCCCCCCACCACCCGTCGGGGGGCCCCCGAGCTCCTCCTCCTCCTCCTCCTCCCTCCTCCTCCTCCTCCTCCCCTTCCTCCTGCTCCTCCTCCTCCTCCCTCCTCCTCCTCCTCCTCCTCCTCCTCCTTCTCGTCCTCGTCCTCGTCGTCCTCCTCCTCCTCCTCCTCCTGCTCCTCCTCCTCCTCCTCCTCCTCGTCTCCTCCTCCTCCTCCTTGTTCTCCTCCTCCCCTCCTCCTCGTCCTTTCCTCCTCCTCCTCCTCCCCTCCTCCTCTCCTCCTCCTCTTCCTCCTCCTCCTCCTCCTCCTCCTCCTCCTCCTCCTCCTCCTCCCTCCTTCCCTCCCTCCTCCCTCCTTCCCTCCCTCCCTCCCTGCCTCCCTCCCCCTCCCCTCCCCTCCCCCTCCTCCTCCTCCTCCTCCTCCTCCTCCTCCTCCGCTCCTCCTGCTCCCCCTCCTGCTCCTCCTCCTCCTCCCCCTTCCTCCTCGTCCTCGTCGTCGCCCTCCTCCTCGTCCTCCTCCTCCTTCTCCTCCTCCTCCTCCTCCGCCTTCCTCCTTCTCCCTCCCTCCCTCCCTCCTCCTCCCTCCCTCCCTCCCCCCCTGCAGACCCGATACTGCGTGAGGGGTCTGAATGCGATGATAACCGCGAGGTTGTTATTGTCAGCAATGACGTAAAAGCATCTGCGAAGATATCAGCAATGATAGGCGATTGATGTTGCTTAGCGGCACCTGCGAGGTGTCTACCGATACGCCCAAGCTCAAGGGCCCTTACAGGATTGAGCCCAAATAGTTACGAAAGAGCATATGCTTGCTGGCATGCTATGCTACACTGCTTACAGATCAGCACTGACGCTATTTATTTCACACTCGTGCAAATTTCTTCTGATCTGTGCATCTGCCGATATAGCGCATTTAGACGTGGTGATGGCACGTCAACGAGCTAAAATGAAACCAGGCGCACTGCGCGCTTGAAAAGTGAGCCGGCACTGGTCAGGTGTGCCTCGTGCTCTCTGGCCTGGTCCGTCGGCTCTTGATGCTGCAAAGCGAGACGCGTGTCTCGCAGCACTGCCCTGATGGCACTGCCGTCCGATCGCTTGGTGAACTGATCACCGAGCTGCTGGTCAGTCGGAACCCAAAAGAGGGGTAGTTGGCTGCGCTGATCGTCAGCGACAAACTCGTTGCTAACTTCCTCTTCTAGTGACTCCTTGAGGCCCACTAGGTCGAGCAAAAGGCGCCGCTCTGACGGGAGCTTGGAATAACCGTCTTTATGCATCGTATCGTACAAGCTGGCGCAATCTGTGACCTGAGCGACCGGCAACAGACTCGGCGGGATGTCCTCTGGATGGGCATCCGGAATCTCTAGCGAAGCGACAACACAGCGTGTAATCTGAGCACAGCCTAGAGCGTCTACTGCCGACATCGTTTCGGCTGCCAACGTAGATCTGCAAACTCTCTTGATGGTGCCCGATCTCCAATCAACAATTCCTGCTCGAGCTCGATCTCCGCGTAGTAGCTTGGCTTCTGCGAGAAAACTCACGTAGCCAGCCTGCGAGCGAATCTTGATATTTTTGTCCTTACTGGTTGCCCCCACGGTCTTGGCGAGCAACTTGGAGATGGCGCCTTCAGCTGGCTCGTCAGCGTTGGCCCAACTGGCGTCGTGGTACGTCACCAGGCACAGAGGTCCACGTAACTTAGGGAACTCCAAACCCACGTCCGCGTGCTACCGCGCCAACTTGATGAGCCTGTTCGTCTCGAGCAAGTCCTGGATGGTGGGCTTGTTCTGGGTCCGCTGCCCCATGGCCACTCCAGCTGCCAGGTCGGGACGAGTCTGCGATGAAAGCCACCCGAGCGCTCCGAGTGCGGAGCGGTTGTCCAGAACTCGGCTGGCGTAGCATCTGACGACAGGTCCGTCTTGCGCTCCTTGCTGAGCGGAATCTCCTCGATGGTGTTCGCGTACTCGGTCTGTCGTAGATGTAGTACTTCCTCTTGATCTCGCCAGGCCTGCTTGCCGCAAAAAGGAAAAGGCAAGCCTCGCCAGTCGCCCCAGGGCAAAAGCTTGTGAAGCCTGTCGTAGAGGCCCGGGTACTTGTGCGAGATCCCCAGCAGCAAGTCGTCCACGTGGGCGACCACCACCGCACAGAGCTCACCGTGCTGGTCGTAGCCGTAGTACAGCGCTGGGTCTAGCGAGTGCTGGTGTAGGCGAAACACGTAGTTGTCGCTCAGCTTCTCTTCCACCGCCATGAATGTCCTCTTGAGCTTCGCCCACCACGGTCTCGGTGCCGTGGCCAGCCCGAAAACTCCCTTGAGGATTTTGATCAGCTGCTTCGGGTTCAGCCCAGGCAAACCTTCGCGAGGCTGGGGTACGTGCAGCTGCTGGTCGGGCTGCTCGTCGCCTTGCATGAAAGCCGCCTCCACGTCCGCCGCGTAGATCTCCAGGTCGAACCTCTGGCAGATGGTGAAGAACAGCATGGTCGAGTTGCGGGTGACCGTGGGCGCGTCCGTCCGCAGGTCGCCCTGAGCGAGGCGCGGGTCCATGTGACCCCCGACGCAGAGTCAGGCCTTTGCCTTGACCGGCAGCGGATGGTTGTCGGTCCGCAGCTGGGCGTTCTTGTCCCGGTACACGAACCGGCTGGGCAGGATGAGGCTGGGCTTGATCATGCCCCTGATCGCCTCGGACTCCTCGATGGAGAGTACCTGACAAGAGCCATACTTCTGCCACTCGCTCCACGGCTTGGCGGCCGCCTCCCTGAAGAGCTCCCGATCAGAGTCCGTGATGGCCCTCCAGTGGATCTCCTTGTCGGCCTGCTTGCGCTTGGTCCTCTCGGTCACGATGGAGGTTTGCAATACTTGTCTTGGGGCCGACCTCGAACGTTGGCGGGCTCCTCCTGCTTCGGGTCCGGCCGCTGCCTCCTGATCGGGGGCCGCCGCGCGGTCCCGCGAAGTTGCCCTTGCGGGCAGGGCGCCAGAGCCTGCGTGCTCCCTCTCGGTCTGGAGTCGCTTGAAGGCCGGGCCGAAGTCGCCGCTGTCCCCTCCGTCGAAGGTAGCTCGACGTCGTCGGAATTCGTCAGGGCCGTAGGTTCGCTCTTCTTCAGCTTGTTGCGGCACGTCGGCGGGCAGCGCCTGGATCTGCTCCTGCTGGGGCGGATCCTCGGAGACGTTCAGCCTGAGGTCGCTGTCGTCCGGGTTGTCGATGAATTCCCGCCACGCCTGCTCCATCTCGTCTGGCTTGACCTCGGGCTCGCCAGGCGCCGGGCGGATGTCCTCCACCTGAGCCTCTTCCTGTTCGAGCGAGTCGCGAGCCCGGTTGAGCTCGGCCACGGCCTGACCGATCTCGTCCCTGCCGTTCGGGAACCAGACGTCGTCCGGAGCGAGTGCCTTGATGTGCTCCGGGGCCACCAGCATGGTGTGCCCTCCTAGCGAGACCCAGGTGTTCTCGCCTTGGTGGCCGATGACTACGCACGGCCCTCGCCAGATGCCCTTCTTGGCATTGCGGTTGTGCTGCTCCCGCTGCTCCTTCTTCTTGACCGGGCGAAAGACGTAGCACATCTCGCCCACTGACAAGGGCGTCGCCACCGTGCGCGCGAGCCAGCATAGCTCGCCGGAGCTGGTCGTCGTTCTGCATCCTCATGAACGACTCGCGCGCCGCCGTCCGAATGGCATATCGGCGGCGAATCTTCTCGTCGTTGGCCGCGAGGCTGTGGGCGCTGTAGTTGGCCGTGTCGTCGACTAGGTCTCCAGGCATCTTGGGGTCGCGTCCCAGCACCCACTGCGCGGGGCTGAAGCCTGCTCGCCTTCTAAGCGAGTTCTTCGCGCCCGATACCATGATGGCCAGCGTCCGCATCTCGTCCTCGCCCCTGATCGACGAGTGCTCGATCGTCCTCGCCGCGAGCTCCTTCCACCAAGCTCCCTGGCGTTCCACGCGACCGAGCTGCCAATGTGCCTGACCAGCGATGGGCAGCTGCACCGTGTTGAATGACTGGAAGGGCTCGCTGAGGGCGCCGCCGAACCCCTTCTCCATGTCGAAGTGAACTCGGTCGGGTACGCCCGCCCAGGAGGCCCAGCATCTCTCGAACGCGGCATCGAACTCCTGGCCGGTGTGGCGATCGATCAGCGTCGCGACATGGAAGGTGGTGGCCAGGTCGACGATGCTGAGGTACAAGTAGCTCTTGCCGTCGACGTCCTTGAGCTCGAAGCAGTCGAAGCCGACGTCGTCTCCAAAATCTTGCACGAAGTGGAGGTGCGCTGGTCTCCTCGCGCTCGGGCGCTGCTGCGAGCGGCACACCCCGCAGATCAGCCCCTTGACGGCCTGGGCGGTGGCCGACTTAGCGCCTTTGAGGCGCAAGCTGCGGCCCAAATCTTCATCAGGCGGATGGCCCAAGTTGACATGGAGTCTCTTGAGCATGGCCAGCTCGGCTGGCTTGCAGCAGGCCGCTGCTTTCTTCGTGAAAGTAATCGCGCCGACCCCGATCCTGCCGTCCACAGTATCTTCGGCCCGCACGTCGCGAGTGTCGGCGAAGTCGTCTCCGCCGCCCATGGGGTCTGGGTCCCCATCAGGCTCGCCCGTCTCTCCCAGGGGCGCGGTGTCGTTTACGTAGGCGGTGGCCTGCTCCCTGGGCGCTGTCACGATGAAGGGCGACGAGTGCGACTGGCAGTCCACCTGGTAGGCGCGATGCCCTCCTTGCTGGCGAATCACTTGCTCCACAATGCGCACCGCCGCTCTGCAGAACTTAGCGGGGTAAACGCCAGACTTGCGCACCGCCACGTTGTCCCCAAAGGTCTGGTCGTGGTGCTTGTGGCTGCAGGTGCGCTTCAGCTGCTCGAACTCCTTGTGGGTAACGAGCAGCTTCATGGGGTGCTTGATGAGCCCCCCCGTCTTGTAGTGTCGAGCTCCGTACTCGCACATGTCGCACCTCACCTGGCACGCGCGCTCGTCTGCCAGTAGCTCCAAAATCGCGCACTGTTTCCAGAGCCGGCTGGTGGCCGGGTTCTCGATCATGGCCATGTCGCCAGAGTCGAGCTGGTACTTGAAGAGGTCGCGGGCCAATAAAAGGAACGGCCGCTCCGTCCTCCAGATCCGTCGGAGCGCCTGCCTGGCCTGCGGCGTCCGAAAGTTGAGGTGCGTGATGTTCGTGTAGTGGGTGCAGGGTAGCTCGATTGACACGAACTTCGGCCTTGAGGCGTAGTACAGGTCGTACGTCGCGTCGAGGTCCTTCTGCTTGCGTAAGTCCCATCCGTATTTGCGGTCGATCACCTCTGTGGCCGTCATCCGGCGCTTCCACGCCGCCTCGGTGATGCCGCCTTCGCCTCCGAACACCTGCATCACGTCCACGCGGTGGCTGCGAACGCTGTAGGCCTCCTTGACGTCCTGGACGTCGTCGACCACGTCTCGCGCAGCACTGGTAGCATGCTGCACCACGGGCTTGAGAGGTCTAGCCAGCCAGTCCGCGGTGAGCACCGTCTGAAAGGCGAAGGCGCTCAGCAAGCCCGTGACCTGGTAGAGGAGGCCGACGCGCTTGCCCTTCTTGATGCCTGACCGCCGCCTCGGGGCTGGCGACGCGTCCTGGCGGCCACCGCCGCCTAGTCCCTGCTCTGCTGAGGTTCCCGGGAGCCGCTCGGGCGATCCTCCTTGGCGGTCTCGCCCGCCTTCTCGAAGCCCATGTCGCTGGTGTCCATCTCGTGCGGCTCCGGAGGTCGCTGGCGCCGATGCCCGGCCCAGCTCCCCTGGCTTCCTGAGGCCCTCGTAGTCGTCGCCGCTGGCGCCACCCATTCGTCGTCCAGCACCACCTCCTCGGCCATCGCTGCCTCCAAGGTGGTCTTGGCCTTCTCCGGGGGAAGGGGCTGCACTCCGTGCGCCTTTACCCACCTGGCAAACCGCGCCAGGAGTGGGCTTGCCCGAATGTTGTTGAGCTCCAGGACCGCCCACTGCGCGTAGCCCAGGTCGTTCTGGAGCACCCAGCGGTAGTCCGCCGTGGGGTACTTGCCAAAGCGCATCTTGTCGGCCCCGGTGATCTGTGCGCTCGGATGAGCCACCGTCGCCGCGGCACTGCTGACCGCGTCCTCGACCTTCCAGCCCTTGAGGCGCTGCCTGAGCTCCGGCACGGGCGCGCGCTGGTCGAACTCGATCTGGCGGTCCCGACACAGCTGCTGGAGCTCCTCCTTGTTCTTCTTGCCGAGCCCCGGGATGTAGTCGTCCTGCGGCGCGCTCTCGCGGCCCTCGGCCCTCAGCGCACGCAAGATCACCCGGAGCTGGTCGCGCGTGGCGTCGCGCACATCCAAGTCGTAGCTTGCCACCTCGGCCTGCAGCTCCCGCATCCGCATGCTGGATATCGCCGGAAGACGGGCAGTACTCGTCGTCGGCAAGTTCTGGCCGCTGCCCCCTGGGCTCGTCTCCATGGGAGATGTCGTAAATCGCTGGTGCGACGGGGGCATAAGCGCCGGCCGCTGGTTCGTGAAAAGCTGCGGTGGCTGGATCTGCCACGGCACGCGTCGTACTCGCTGGTGGAGCCACAGTTGAACTCGAGCCGGATGGCTGCGGTGATGATGTAGTTTGATGACTGCGTGCTGATGGCTGATCTCGTGGCTCGCTACGGCTTGCTTGCTGCTGAAATCGAACATGCCGTGACTGAGTATCGCTGAGGGATTTAGCTCCCCGTTCGTCATGATCGTGGTTTGTCTGCATAATCTGTGCTGTGCTGACTGACCTAGTACACACTCCCCAGGCCTCGTCTTCCGATCCCGATGACGATTGACGTGATGGAATGTATGCGCTCATGGTTTGGCGCACCTGCTGCTCGAACAGTTCGGCGCTATCGAGCGCATTGCAGTCGGTATCCGACGGAGACTCGTCGGCCTCCGAGGCAACTCCTGGGTGGCGAGCCTCGGGCACCACCGGCTTGGCGGCGCTGGCCACAGCTGTCTCAGCATGGTAAGAAGCGCAAGGATGAAGACGAATCTCGGCCTTGGTATCCGAGACGTCCAAGACGGGCTTATAGTTCGGCGTGAAGCCTGTGATGTCCAGCGTCGGGTGTCCGGCGCGGCTCAGGCCCATCTGGATGTTGTGCTCGTCGATCGACTTGATGTCCAGCTTGTTGTCTCCAGCGTGGTAGACTGTGTCCAGCTCGCTCTGGGCCTTGCGGCTGAACAGTCCTGGCACGGCGCTGCGCGCGATGCTCATGCGGACGGTGAAGGCCTTGCCGTTCACCGAACAGGGGATCAGCGCCGCCTTGAGGCTGAACACCACCTTCGACGCCCCGAACCGGAACGGCTCCTTCTCGGGGTACTCGATGGGCTGGATGTTGAAGGCGGCCAGCCTCTTCTTGATGTCGTTGTACCAGTCGAGGCCGCCGACGCACCGAGTGCCGGCCGTGTCGAAGGTCAGCTTGCCCCCCGACTCCCTCAGCAGGTCCTCGACGCTGAGGTAGATCAGCGCTGAGCTCGTCGCGGCCATCAGGCACTGGTGGTCCTTATTGATGAAGAACGCCGCCGCCGTAACTTCTTCGGGTAGCTCGGCGGCCTGGCGGATCTGCGTCCAGTCGATGCTGTGCAGCGCGCCGTACTTCCTGTCGCGAGCCGCGGCCCGCTGGTCCTGCTGGTAGACCGCCGCGACCGTCATCTCCGCCTCGTGAGGCTCCTGCGCGTCGCTGGTCTCGTGCGTGGCGATGTTCGTCCTGTTGCTTCCCTTATTCGGGATGTCGGCCTTGGCGTTAGGGTCGTTCTTCTTCGAGCACTGCGGGTCACCGCGCCAATGGCCCTTCTGGCCGCATGCGCCGCAGTGTGTCCTGGCCTTCATCTTGGCGATCTTGGGATCGTCTCTCTTCGGCGGGTTGCCGCCGTCGCGCTTGGCGAAGTAGCCACGCGCCTGCTTCGTCTCCTCCAGCTTGTCCTTGGCGCATCTTCTTGGTGGGAGAACGCTACCTGCTCCTCCGCCTCGTCGATCACGTCCTGCAGCTCGTCGGGCAGCTCGTCCTCGTAGTCGTCGGAGCTGTCTGAGGACGCGCCGTCGAGCTCGGCCCTACGATCCTCCTCGTAGGTCTCCGTGGCGTACGCCCGCTTGTGGTCCTTGTTCTTGTGACCTCCGTAGCCTCCTTTGTCGCGGCTGTCCTTGTTGCCGTCCACGACCGATACCTTGGGCAAGTTGATCATCAACTGCTCCTGGATCTTGGTGGGGTTGAACTGGTTGCCCACGCCGTTGAGCACGCTCGCCGCGCGCTCCGGGGGCAGGCGGGCCCCCTTGATGCACAGGTCCGCCAAGACCTCGTCGGGCACTTGGATGCCCTTGGCCTTCAGCTTGGTGGCGATCCCATTGAAGCGGTTGTTGTAGTCGCGGATCTCCTCGTACTTGTGCCGGACGCAGGCCGGGCGCACGAAGGTCTCCAGCAGCGCTGGGGTCTCCAGCACTTCGATCTCGGGAAAGCGCTTCCCGAGGTACTCCAGGAACACCTCCACCGAGTTGTCACCCTTGATGGCGTCCAGGTCGAGCTCCTCGCACGCCTCCTCGGCCTTGCCCTTGAGGCTGGCCAGCAAGGTCGCTCCCTGCTTGGGCGGCTTGACCTCGGTGCCGATCTGCCAGGTGGCGACCTCTCGGCGGTACTTCTTCATGGTCTTGCTCGTGCCATCGAAGACGGGTGCGGGGATCTTGCCGCCGTTGCACTTGTCCTCGCCGCTGGCTGCAGCGGCTCCTCCTGTCGCCATGATGGCGACCCCGAATGAGAGGTACAGTCGCAATGACACGAGCCTGTAGTGCTTGCTAAATGACTCTGCAAAGTCGCGCACGTAGCTGCCGTGGTCGAGTTAGCTCCTGCTACCGCTGCAGACCCGTTGCTGCGTGAGGGGTCTGAATGCGATGATAACCGCGAGGTTGTCATTGTCAGCATTGACGTACAAGTATCTGCGAATATATCAGCAATGATAGGCGATTGATGTTGCTTAGCGGCACATGCGAGGTGTCTACCGATACGCCCAAGCTCAAGGGCCCTTAAAGGATTGAGCCCAAATAGTTACGAAAGAGCATATGCTTGCTGGCATGCTATGCTACACTGCTTACAGACCAGCACTGACGCTATTTATTTCACATCCCCTCCCCCCTCCCTCCTCCTCCTCCTCCTCCTCCTCCTCCTTCTCCTCCTCCTCCTCCTCCTCCTCCTCCTCGTCCATTCCTCCTCCTTTTCCTCCTTCTCCTCCCCCGCGTCCTCGTCGTCGTCCTCCTCC